TTCAGTTGATTGGCTATTTGCAAAGCCTCCACGAACTTTTTGTCTCTGAGGTTGGCTGCTGGAGGCCTCTCCACATTTGTTGTATGAAATGTCATAATTCTGTCTTTTCTTCCCATAGGTATATAAGACTTACAGGACTTTTGTATTTGGAAAGCTCGCAGGAACCCAGACTTTGAAGTTATTTCTTGTTTTCACTGTGTGTTTTTTTTTAACTAAAGCTATCCAGAGCTGAGGATTAAACAGAATACATTTGGAAATTTAAAAATGAGCAAAAAAGGCAAACTATGTTTATTTGGATTTGAAAACTAGCAGAAGCCTGGGCTCAGGGTAGAAACCCAAACCACTTCACTAAAATAAAATGAGGTGACCTTGATATTAGCACTCCAAGTGCTCCTGCTCTGGGCACACCTGCTTGACTAGCAGGAAGCCCATATTTTCACCCTTAAATGCCTTCCTTAACCACAGTGGAATTCTGAAGACTAAAAAAAAATTATCAGTTACTTTTCACCTGCCACGGAACAGGGAGGTAAGTTCAGCAATGATTTGTTCATTACCTTCAGTTGACTGGTTCTGATAATAGAAGGGAGTTGTGCACATTATAGAAATTTTGAAGAGTAATAGTAATAAATTTAATGAACAAGTCAACTATATTTTTCCATCGAAAGATAAATACTTTGTGACTTTTTCCTATTATTTTCCAATATTTTTAATTGGGAAGGGTTACATTGTGTGTAAGTTCAGATAGTAACAATGCAGGGTTTGAGAACTACAAAATGAACTCCCATTAACCAGGATAAGAAATAGAACATCACAGCATATCATAATCTTCCTCCATAAGTGAGCACCAATATCACATCAAAATTACTTTCCTTGCTTGCTTCATTGCAGTGCATCACCTAAGAACCTATCACCGAAAGTATAATTAAAACATGATTTCAATTTTGTCTGGTATTCAAAATTTAAATAAGTCATATGAAGTTTATTCTATAGGTTGACTCAACACTATGCAGGCAGTATTCATCCACATTACTGGATGCAGCTAGAGCCGAAGGATTTTCACTGCTGTATAAATACTCTACGTGCTGCAAAGTAATATTTTTTTCATTTGTTACTATAACAAAAGGACTGGTGAACAATTTTACACATGAATGAATATTTTTATGTGTATTTCAAAGCATTTCCTTAGGTCATTCCCCAAAAATAGAATCGCTATTTCTATTTAAAGTAAAATAAAAGTAGGGGTCTCCCTGGTGGTGCAGGGGTTAAAGTCTCAGCACTATGAAGCTGTCCACAGCCTCTGCAGCATGAGTTAGATCCAGGGAGCAACCCACATGGTGCAGCAGACCTCTTCTGACTGGCCTGCTGCTCCCCTCAGCAGTGTATGTCAGCAGATCTGCCTGTTCGGTTCCCCACTCTGTCTCTGGTGTGTCCTCTCACCCCCTGCACCTCTGGCCTGCACCCCAGCTCTGTGTGCATAAATAAATCAATCTTTTTTTTTTTTAAGTAAAATAAAACCATTTTAAATTCTGAAGGATGGTATGAATTTATTTTCTCAGGAATGGACGAGGGTACGTATTTCATCTCACCCTTGCTAACATTCTATCTACTCCCTTCTTCAAGGCTTTTGACACAAACGCCCTCTTCACTCGTTCCTCTCCGCTTGACCTGAGGCTTCCTTTCAGCGGGGAACTGTCTTCTTCATCCTCCCCTCCGGTGCTGCGCTCCCTCCCTGCCCCCCACACTCCTACACCGAACCCCACCCTGGGACCTTTCATTTCCCAGCGCTGTTGCTGCTGCTCCTACTCGCCACGAGGCGGCGCTCTCCGTCGTTTTTCTGCACTTGGGCCTCATGGCGCTTCCTGTTGCCCCAGCCGCGCTCTCCATTTCCTCACCAGCGGTTCCGCCGCTCCTGGCCAGCGCTTAGCTCCTTCCATCCCGCCACCGCCCCTTCCGCGCCTTACTGACCTTGGCGCGCCCTTCACCGCCCGGCACAGCGTCCTTACTCTGCGTTCTGCCCGCATCACCCCTCCGGCCCACAAGAGGGCGCGCTCCGTCTCCCCGGCCTGCTTCTGCCGCAGGAGCCTCTCCTTCCTCCCGCCACTGCCGTCAGCTCGCGCGCACCCCCACCCAGTGAATTTTTTTTCCACCTTATCACCCCGGTCCACAGAGCTCTTGTTTCGTCCGCCCGCCCTTTGCCCCACACGGCTCTTTTTCATCCATTAATAACAGCGCTCAGTGATAATATAAAACACTACTATCAATCGAAATGGCCACAGAAACCGTGGCTGCAGGGGTAAAAGGAGAGACGTATAAACGGAGAGTGCCGCCTTGTGGAGTGGGGTGGTAACGTGGGAAAATAGCAACCATAGACACTAGGTGACACGGAAGTAGTAGGAGGAAGGAGAGGCTCCCGGGGCAAAAGAAGGGACTTGGAAACGGAGCGCGCCGCCTTGTGGACTGGGGTGGTAACGTGGGAAAATAGCAGCTGTAGACGCTAGTGGACACGGAAGTGGTTGGAGGAAGGAGAGGCTCCCGGGGCAAAAGTAGGGCCTTGCAAACGGAGAGCGCCGCCTTGTGGAGAGGGGTGGTAACGTGGGAAAATGACAGAGCGAGGCGTGTGAGTGGACACGGAAGTGGCCGAGGATGGAGAGGCTATGGGGGTAAAGGAGACAGGGAGAAACGGAGGACGCTGCCTGATGGACGCTGGAACGTGGATGAACGCTGCGGGAAGGTGCTATCGCCAGAGAGCCAAGGTGAAAGGCGTGGGAACTGTGGGGAAAGTGCAGAGTAAGGCGCGAAAGGGGCGAGGAGCAAGGGAAATAAGCGCACAATAATGAAGGACATGGTCACTAGTGAATGAAAAGCAGAAAAATGAGGGCGAGGGGGAACGGAACAGGCCGTGAGGGTGGCACCGCAGAGAAACGATAGGAGGCACAGCCGGGTGGCGAGGAGTAAAGTGGTGCCAAAATCGGAGAATAAATATGACAGTTCCGAGGCCCCAGGAAAGGGGTAGGGCCAAGCAGACAAGGAGTGAAAGCAGGGGTAGGGGAGTTTGTGCCAAAACCTTTAAGTAGACAGCTCGGTAGCTAAGGGATGGGATGCATCATGTGCTCATTCATTCTTGAGAAAGTAAGTTCACACCACTCTTCTGCAGAGAACTCTGAATTTAAAATATTTTTATTTTATTTTAAATAGAAATAGGCATTCTAGTACTGCAAAATGACCTAGGAAACGTGTTGGAAAACAGATAAAAATATTTGCAAAAATGTTCATCAGCACTTTCTTTATATTAATAAATGATTGGAAACAATCTACATGAAAATCCCAGGGAATGATTAAATTACAGCATAAATGAAATGTAGCTGTTAGATACAATAATTCTGGAGTTTTTAATGACATAAAAAATACTTACAATGTTAAATGATGAAAGAATATAAAACCCCAGACATAGTATAATTCTACCATAGTATAATTCTACCACAGAAGAAAAATAATGAAATATACTTTCTACCCCTTATGTGTATGAAGACTAGAATGAAAAAAGTTAACTCTGCATCAGGTGGAATATTATAAGCAGTGAAATTAGGCCCTAGCTGCATTCCAATAATGTGGATTAATCTTGTCTACATATTCTTGAAAGTGCCAAGATAGAAAATACATGTGTTTTATTTAAATGTTAAATACCAGACAAAATTAAAATCATGTTTTAATTATGCATTCATGATACATCCTTAGGTGATATAATGAAGAACAAGGGAAATATGATGAAAATCACACTGGTGTTCATTTACAGAGGAAGATTATGATGTGTTGTGATTTTATGTTTCTTGACCTGGTTAGTGGGAGGGAGTTCATTTCATAATTCTCAAACTCTACATCATTACTACCTGCCCTTACAGTTAAGAACATTGGAAAGTACAAAGGAAGTAAACTAAAACATAGGAATAAAGGAAACTAACTCCTAAAAGTATGTATGTTTCGATGGAAAAGTCAGTTGACTATATTGTTCATTATACTTACTACTTTTCAAAATTTCTATGATGTGCACAGTCCCATTTAGTATCAGAACCAGTCAACTGAAGCTAATGAAGAAATCATTGCTGGAGGGCCTCCCTGGTGGTGCAAGGGGTTAAGACACAGCACTATGAAGCTACCCACAGCCACTGCAGCATAAGTTTGATCCCAGCCAGGGAGGTGACCCACATGGTGCAGCAGACCTCTCTTGTCTCACCTGTTGCTCCCCTCAGCAGTGTGTTTCAGTCAGTCTGCCTGTTCTGTTCCCCATTCTGTCTGTGGTGAATCCTTTCACCACCACCCGCCCCCCCCCCACCAAATCTCTGGCCTGTACCCAAGTTTTTTTAAAGATTTATTTGTTTATTTATACAAGCACTGCGTACAGTCAGAAGCACGGGAGGGTGAGAGAATTCACCAGAGCCAGAGCGGGGAGCAGAGCAGGCAGAAGGACCGAAGTACACTGCTGAGGGGAGCAGCGGGCGGCAGAAGAGGTCTGTGCACCATATGGGACCCTCCTCCAGTGGCCGGGGAGCAGCCAGGGATCAAACCGGCACTGCAGAGGCTGCGGGCAGCTTCGCAACCCAGCACTCAACCGCTGCACCACCGGGGAGGCCCTGTACCCAAGTTCTTGTATGCATAAATAAATAAATCTTTAAAAAAAAAAAAGAAATCATTGCTGAATGAATGATTCAGAATTCCACTCTTTAGAATTCTACTGTAGTTATAGAAAACCATTTAAGGGTGAAAATATGGGTTTCCTGCTAGTCAAACAGGTGTGGGCAGAGTGGTAGCATTTGGAGTGTTAATGTCAAGGTCACCTCATTTTATTTTAGTGAGGGGGTTTGGGTTTCTGGCCTGAGTCCATGCTCCTGCTAGTTTTCAAATCCAAATAACATTTTGCATTTTTTGTTCATTTTTAAATTTAGAAAATTATTCTGTTTAATCCACAGCTCCACAGCTTTGGATAACATTCATTTAAAAACAACAACAGTGAAACAAGACCTTAATTCAACGTCTGGGCCCCTTCAAGCATTCCAAATACAAGATCTCCGAAGCTGTATACACCTATGGGGAGAAGATAAAATTATGAATGCAGCCATGACATTTCATCAAACATAGTTTTATATAACTGGAAGAGACTTCCTGGGGGTAGTGAATTTCCTTCACAAAAAGAAAAAGAATAGAACAGAATGAAATTTCTGTGTTCCAAATCAACTTGTCACACATCCACATCAGTGTAAATCCAGTACTTGCTGTTATTGTCATCTCATCCGAGAGCTCAAATCCTGATTCATTTCAGCAGTGACACCACAGGCAAGACTGTGGCATTAAAACACCACTTTACGGGCCTCCCGTGGTGGCGCAGCGGTTGAGCACTGGGCTGCGAAGCTGCCCGCAGCCTCTGCAGCACCAGTTCGATCCCCGGCCACCGGAGGAGGGTCCCACATGCCACACAGACCTCTCCTGCCGCCCGCTGCTCCCCTCAGCAGTGTATTTTGTCAGTCTGCCTGTTCTGTTCCCCGCTCTGGCTCTGGTGAATTCTCTCACCCTCCCGCGCTTCTGACTGTACCCAGTGCTTGTTTAGATAGATAGATAGATAGATAGATAGATAGATAGATAGATAGATAGATAGATAGATAGATAGATAGATAAATAAATAAAACAAAAAAACCCACCACTTTACACACTTCTGTGGCATTTCCACATTAGTCTTACTTCTGGGCAGGCTTTCATCATACAAGATCAGAAGCACCACAACCCTAATGTTTGCTAAAAATCAAGTAAGAAAAAAGAAGGGGTGGGGGGCAATGAAAAATCTCTGGGAAAAGCCAAAGGGAATTTTAAAAAAATTTTTTTAAAGATTTATTTATTTATGCATACAAGAACTGGGGTGTAGGCCAGAGGTGCGGGGGGTGAGAGGATTCACCAAAGATAGGGTGGGGAGCAGAACAGGCAGATCTACTGAAATACACTGCTATGAGGAGCAACTGGAGAGACAGGAAAAGTCTACTGCGCCATGTGGGTCACCACCATGGCTGGCGGGGCTGCAGTGACTGGTGACAGCTTGTCACTGCACCACCAGGGAAGCCTCAGCCAAGGGCATTTAAAGGAGCCACAGAATGCCAAAAATATTTAAACCACTTTCTTTTTTTTTAAAAGGGGGATTTTTTTTTTTAAAGTATTTCACTCTAAAGGAATTTGCCAGCTGTCAATCAAAGGATGTCACTACCATACTGGGGATACGTTGGCAATGTAAATCCATATTCTGCTTCTTTTTAATATAGTGAATTCAACCTAGTAATTATCATAACAAATGTTATAGTGTAAAGCTCAACACATTTGAGCAATTTTTAAACTGAATTAGATACAAACCAAATAAAATTTACATCACAAACATTACCGCCTTAGGCTGTGGGGACACTTGGGCTGTCTGTATTGCTCTCACAATTTTTAGGTTAATTTTATTTCTGGAGAAGACGGGGTATTTGCAACCACTAGTTCGCTCACTGTGAGAGACCATCCTTGCCTGTGCTCCCTGGGGTCGGGGACATGGATGGGAGTTTGTGCTGGTGCGAACCTGGTCTCTTCAGGATCCAGCGGGGAGACACCATCTGTGGTTGATCTGGGGACCTCGTTGGGCCATGGAAGGATGAGGAGAACCCCAAAGTAAAGGGAAGGTGAGGACCACCTCCCTGTGGGTGGCTGATGCAGAGGGGGAGCAGCTGGAGGACCCAGCACAGGAAGAGCTAGATGTGAAAACTGGGAGGTGGTGTTAGGGTTCCTTTATGTGCATGGAGGAACACAGGGGTTCAGGTTCATTCCTGAGCAGCCCACTGGGCTGTGAGGGGACCCCAGAGACCCATGGGCACAAGAAAGTCTAATGGCTGCTGTACACTGAGTCCTCAGAGAAACAGCAAGAATGAGCTAGAAACGTACCACTGTCTACCCTGGGAGGCTCGCCATGCAGGACTATGCTCAGAACACCCCCGCCCCGCTAGGAAAGTGGCTGCTGCCTGCTGACTGAGGCCTCCCACATCTCCTCTGAGGCCACCCACATCTCTTCTGGCCTGAACTCTGCCTGCAGGCGTGTGACAAACCCAGTGTCCTACAGAGCCCACATATGAAGTCTCATTTACCCGAGCATCTTGTTCAACCTGAGCTTCATCCACTTTAGAATCAGGGTCTCTATTAGCCTCACATAGAAAATGTTTCAGAGTACTGAATTTCATGAGCATTTTCATGCAAAAGGAGAAATGGCTCCATCTGAAGGTCCTAAGAGGTTTTCTCTTAGGGAGAATATATTTTTATAAAGATTATAGCAAGACTACAAGATTTCACTTTATCACACAGTATTGTGCAAATCCAATCTGACCTTGTTGATGTGAAATTCAAATACAGTGATATAAAAAATAAGCACCTAAGAATTAGCCATTAAGAGTTTAGGTCGAAGGCCTCCCTGGTGGCACAGTGGTTAAATTCTCAGTGTTGTCAAGCTATTGCCAGCCATTGTGGCATGAGCACAATCCCTGGCCAGGGAGCTAACCCACATGGTGCAGCAGACCTCTCCTGTCTCACCCACTGTTCCCCTCAGCAGTGTATTTCAGTAGATCTGCTGTTCTGCTTCCCACTCTGTCTCTGGTGAATCCTCTCACCCCCGATACCTCTAGCCTACACCCATGTTCTTGTATGCATAAATAAATAAAAATCAATCTTTTTAAAAAAAGAGTTTACGTAGGATGTTCTAAAACACAACCAAACTCACACATCACACAGCCAGGATCTATCAAGTAACAGAAATAATCAAAAGAATTTTAAGTGAATCTACTCAACCATATTCAGACCAGTCAGGCTTCAGATTTTTTAATCCAACTGTAAATAGTATCCACCCAATACCTGAAGGAGAAGCAGCAACGTCCTCGGGTTGTGCCCTGAAGTGTCCCTACCACATCATCTTCCAGGCTTGAGTCATAATCTGCAATAGAATAATTTCCAACTTATTTACAGCTTCTCTTCAACTAGAAAAAAATAGATCCTTTCCCATTAATCCTTTCCCATAAAGGAAGAAATACTTGATTTACATAAATGTTCTCTACTCCCCTCCGAGTGCCCCAGAGACTAGGGGCAAATGCTTTCCGTGAATGGCTACAGGAGAACAAATCAGCATTTCTCAGTGGCTGAGGCCTGATGGAGATGGGAACCCAATGCTTCTGGAAACTCTAGTTTGGTCACGGCATGTCTTTTATTGGAAAATAAGAACAAGTGAAAGAAAACCCAGAATAAGGTAAACAATGTTAGCGTCTTACCCACAGACATACAGATAGGGGACCAGACACATTAAAAGTGATAGAATACATAATTTTCTTATCAAGGAAATCATGTTATTTTAATTCGTGAAACTGATAATTCTGTGAATGGCATTGCTTGTATTTCTTAAACTCACCATGGGATTGCTGCTGATTTTTTGTTTCCTTGACAGTTCTTGTTTCTTTTCACATTCATGCTGAGATGGACTGTATATTTTTTCTTTTCTGAAGGAATAAAGGGTGTTTAAAAAAATGCCTGTGTAGTGCAATGGAAACTTACAAGACCAAGGTCTGATCATGTCCACTTGCAAAAACCAACATCTCCAAAGGCGAGAGCCTTCATTTTCCAAATCAAAGAAGAAACAACCTAAAAAGAGATTTTCCAGATTCAACATGATGGCTTATGCACCCTGCTTGGCAAATCTCTCCATCACCCTTATTATGATAACTAGAAAATCATGAATGTGGTAGTGGAGAAGCCCTGAACCAAGTAACTGGAGCTAACATCAATGTAATGGGACAATGGGTACCAGGTGCCTTATAAACACAGAAGGACAGTTACTCCTGTGACACTGTTGGCAAAAATAAGTCAATCTGAATCCAAATCAAAGCACAAAAGAGGGCCTCCCTGGTGGCGCAGCGGTTGAACACTGGATTGCGAAGCTGCCCGCAGCCTCTGCAGCACCAGTTCAATCCCCAGCCACTGGGAGAGGGTCCCACATGGCATGCAGACCTCTCCTGCCGCCCGCTGCTCCCCTCAGCAGTGTACTTCATCAGTCTGCCTGCTCTGCTCTCCTCTCCCCTCTGGCTCTGGTGAATTCTCTCACCCTCCCATGCTTCTGACTGTACCCAGTGATTGAATAAATAAATAAATAAATAAATAAATAAATAAATAAATAAATCTTAAAAAAAAAAAACCTCAGTTTTTTTTTTTTTTAAAAAAGCACAAAAGAGATCAGTAGTTAGTATCTATGTATATAATCCAAACAAATACTATCCCTTATCTGTGGCTGAAGTGGGTTACACACTTGCAAGTTTTCTTTATGTACCCAAATCCAAGTAAACAATTTTTGAAAGCTTTCAGACGGATGACATTTTGCTTACTTGAAATATGTGTGCATATTTTAGCATAAAACATACCTGACAGTTATGAACATGATTGGGTTGCTACACCTGCAAGAACTTAATTTTTCACTCAATTTGTAGAAACATCCAGGGTTTCTTCTAGTGCTGCCACTGAGACCAATATAAGACATTACATCCATGTGGTCTGACAAGGGATTACCCCAAAGATATTTTCAGTTAAGAATAATAAGCCCAGAAGTCTCACTGTGCAACGATAAATAAAATACTGTTTAAAACACAGATGCTGAATTAAAGTACTAGGGAAGAGGGCCTCCCCAGTGGCGCAGCGGTTGAGCGCTGGGTTGTGAGGCTGCCCGCAGCCTCTGCAGCGCCGGTTCAATCCCCGGCCATGGGGCGAGCGTCCCACATGGTGCGCAGACCTCTTCTGCCGCCCGCTGCTCCCCTCAGCAGTGTACTTCATCAGTCTGCCTGCTCTGCTCTCCGCTCTGACTCTGGTGAATTCTCTTGCCCTCCCACACTTCTGACTGTACCCAGTGTTTGTATAAATAAATAAATCTTAAAAAAAAAAAAAAGTACTAGGGAAGAAAACACTGCAAACTGTAGCATAGACCTGGCATTTCACAGGGACAAAAGGGCAGAGTGAAAGGAAATTATTTGCACACTATTGAAACGGGGATGGTCTGGAATGTCTTTTCCTGCCTCTGCTTATCTTGTAAGAACAGCTGGACAACAAAGCAGCAATTGACAACAAAGAAAAAAAAAAAAAACACCATTTATAAGTTGTATTTCGAGTGCAGGTCCAGAAGATGGCAGCTGTCCTTGAAGTGACATCTCATTGGCTGGACCAAAAGTAGCTGTGGGGACAGAACCTGATGCCCGACTCATGGTTCTGCTGAGACTTAACCCCTTGTGCCACCAGGGACAACACTCAGAAGCAAGGGGATCAGTGAACTGCGGTTCTGGATCCAAACTCAAGACACACCAGGATTCAGCAGAAAGCAGCCACTCAGACGCTGTCAACCTGCATGTTATGTACTTGTTCCTTCAACCCCACAAACACTACTCAAGATGCCATCCTTGGGGAGACTGATTTGAGAGCCCTGTCTCCAGTCGGCCAGGTAACCGTGCATTAACTAGTTCTTTTTTTTTTTTAAAGTTTTATTTATGTATGCATACAAGACCTGGGGTACAGGCCAGAAGTGTGGGAGATGAGAGGATTCATCAGAGACAGAGTGGGGAACAGAACAGGCAGACTGACTGAAATACACTGCTGATGGGAGCAGCGGGTGAGACAGGAGAGGTCAGCTGTGCCATGTGGGTAGCTCCCTGGCCAGGGATTGAACTCGTGCTGCAGAAGCTGAAGATAGCTTTACAGTGCTGTGCTTAACCCCTTGCACCACTAGAGAGGCCTGCATTAACTAGTTCTTTCCTCAACAGCTGTTGGCAGGTTTTTGGCTTTTGTGCCTTTAGGTAGCGGGTCCACATTTGGCAACATTATAGATATGATAAGAGTCTGTTGAACAGAATACACACAGAACTTTTACAATTAGTAAATGAAAAAAAAAATACCACCAAAAAAAAAAACCCAACCCATCTTAAAAATGGATAAAGGACGGGAATAGATTCTTCTCCAAAGTACACATACAAATGGTCAACAAGCACCTGAAAAGACTTCCCAGATCACTAGTCATTATGGAAATACAAACTAAAACCATAATCACAACCCCCTCACACACACTAAAAAGGTTAGAGAAAATTTTACGTAACAAATGTTGTAAGTATTGGGGTGAGGAGTAGAAAAAGGGTCCTGTGGGTCAAATGCAGAGAGGTGACACTGTAGTGGAGATGTACAATGAGCCAGTCTATGCGTAAAATGCTGGCGGGGAGGACCTCCCTGGTGGCGCAAAGGGTTAAGTCTCAGCACTATGAAGCTATCAGCAACCACTGCAGCATAAGTTCGAGCCATGGCCAGGGAGCTACCCACATGGTACAGCAGACTTCTCCTGTCTTCCCTACTGCTCCTCTTAGCAGTGTTTTTCAGTCAATCTGCCTGTTCTGCTCCCCACTCAGTCTCTGGTGAATCCTCTCACCCCCCTCACCTCTGGCCTATACCCCAGCTCTTGTATGCATAAATAATAAATCTTTGAAAAAAAATGTTGGGGGGAGAGAATGTCCTTAACAAACTCCACAAATAAGTTTTATGGCGCCCACCCACCCTAGACCAAAGAGATCCAAGACACCAAGGACTACAGATCCCATAATGTTGTCACCAGCAAAGGGAGGGTTGCTGGGAAGTGAGGGTGCAGTTAAGCAGCCGGGTTTGGTATGTAACCAGACATGGGGGTCTTGTAGGAACTTGTTTGTTCACCAGCTTTCAGCGTGCGATTGGGTTCCAGCTCAGCGGAACTCGTAGGACACATTCACCAATTAATCTCTGAGTTATTCAATTCTTCATTTCCTCTTTTTGTAAATAAACCCTCCATTAACTTTTTTACATGTGCCTGCAGGTGAGTCTCATAAGTCCCTTTTAAGTGTGTGGGTGAGGATCCACAATCAGGCCAACCCATTTCACTTTGAGGTTACCCTGTAACAAAAATAATTTGGTATTTCCCCAAAATTTTACAAATAGTAATACTGTAAGCTTCAACACTTCCACACCTCGATATAAACCCCAAAGGATTGAAAACAGGTATTCAAGCTAAATTGTGTACACAAATATTTATAGCAGCATTGTTCACCATAGCCAAAGGTAAAAACAGTGCAAATATCCACCAGTGGGTGAGTGGGTAAGCAGAGTGTGGTAGATCCCTAAACTCCAATACCGTTCTGCCATGTAAGGAAGAGAGTGAATCGGTGCAGCTGCTGTGGAGAGCACTATGGCGATTCCCTTAAAACCTAAACATAAAATTAACACGGGATACAGCAATTTCACTTCAGGAATGTACCCAAAAGAATTGAAAGCTGCAACTCAAACAGATTATCTGCACACCCATGTTCACAGCAGCATTATTCTCCATCCACCAGCATCTAGAAACACGAGTGTCCACGAGATGAACAAATGTAAAATTAAAATGTAGCACAGAAACAATGTCATACTCATTCTTAAGGAACTTCTGATACTACAACTTGTAGGAAACTTAGAACCATTATAAAAAGTGCAATAAATTGTAGACACAAAAGGACAAGTGCATCCAGAGTAGTCAAATTCAGAAACAGAAGTTAAAATGTGGTTGCCAGAAGATGTGGGGAAAAAAGGGATAGAGTTAGTGCTTAATGGGTAGTTTCAGGGGAGAAATGAAAAGGCTCTGGAGAGTGGAGAGGCCCAGCTCACCTCCTCCACACACTACAACCAAATTACCCCTAAACAAAGGCAGCAGCTTGTGTGCCCACCGAGAGGCCTGGGTCGGGATAATGTGGTCTAGCCACACTATGTGACACTATTCAGCCATGCGGAGAGACAAAATGTTACCACTGACAACAAAATGGAAGGAATTTGAGGGATCCTGTGTAGTAAAGCAAGTGAGAATGATAAAGACAAATGTTAGCTGTTTACATAGCAGGTGAGAAAACAAAGTAAAATACTTACAAAAACTACTGTGTGTTGAGGGGGGGTGGAAAGGATTAAAGCTGAAATACTGGCCTGTTTTTGTCAGGGTTATATGCTAACCTGCCATAAAAATGATCATTTCATTTTTCCTTGGGTTAACACCACTGAAGAAGTCAGCTCTATGTCTTCGGAAACAAACTGTTCAGCAGCCAGTCATGCAGGGAAATGGGCGATGGAGGTAGAGAAAAAAAAAATTGCATGGACATGAAAACCTAAGTGGAAGAGTCAAACAGAAAAGACCACCCACAGGGTAAGCCCAGGCACACATTAAACCCATCGTGATTGTGAAAATGAGGAACAGTCTCAGGAACAGTTTCAAAAAAGAGGGGGCTTCCCTGGTGGTGCAGGGGTTAAAGTCCCAGCACTATCAAGGCATGAGTTCACCAGCACAGGCATGATTTCTATAATCCCTCCCTTTGACCCACATGGTGCAGCAGACCTCTCCTGTCTCGCCTGCTGCTCCCCTCAGCAGTGCAAGCAGTGTATTTTAGTATATCAGCCTGTTCTGTTCCCCACTCTGTCTCTGGTGAATCCTCTCACTCCCCCTACCCCCGT